CAACTTTGCATTGCTGGAGATAACCGTGGAGGTGAATCCATCAGAGGCAACAGAACTCATCAAAGAGTCTTCCATCGGGTCATACCTGCCGTTTTCCATGCAAGGTTGGATGGCAACGAGTCTATTATAGACACTAAGATGCCCAAAGTCAAGGTGGAAAAGCAACAAGCAAAGACAGGCTGGCAGGATACCCAGAAAGGCTACGCATCCTTGAATTCTACGGCACCCTTTTCCTTGAGATGCTGTTTCCGCATCACATTGTGCCTGCTTGGAGTAGTGTGCATATGGAACATAGGATCAGCCTTGTGCGTATAGAAAGAATTTGTGCTGATGTCTACCACAAAGATGAAAAAAAGAAAGCTAGAACACTTAAAGGAATAGCACACAGACCTACTTGATGGTAGGTTTCACCTAAAACAGTTAACAGTGGAAAATTAAAATATTGTCGGAGAAGCAGTGGCAATGGGGGTGGAGTGAAAAGAGGAATCAGCCTAGAATCTCTACGTAGCCACCAGCAAACTAAATCCCACCACCCCCTTGAGTGCCCTTGACTCTTACCTAATCCTAACCAGGCACTGACCATTAGTTCAGAAGATTCCTGTGCATAGACTTTTAGCAATAAATCAATTTAATTGAACCTTCACTGGTGGACCTGGTCATAAGATGTTAACAGAGAGATTAACAGAGTTGGAAAGGTCCTTGCAGGTCATCTAGTCCAACCCCCCACCCAAGCAGGAGACCCTACACCATTTCTGACAGATGGCAGTCCAATCTCTTCTTGAAAGCCTCCAGTGATGAAGCTCCCACAACTTCTGAAGGCAACTTCTGTTCCATGGGTTGATTGTTCTCACGGTCAGGAAATTTCTCCTTATTTCCAGGTTGAATCTCTCTTTGATCAGTTTCCATCTATTATTCCTTGTCTGGTTGCTTTGGAAAATAGCTTGACCCCCTTCCTCCTCTCTGTGGCAGCCCCTCAAATACTGGAAGACTGCTCTCCTGTCTCCCCTGGTCCTTCTCTTCACTAGACCAGCCATGCCCAGTTCCTGCAACCGTTCTTCATATAATTTTAAGTCTCCAGTCCCCTAATCATCTTGGTTGCTCTTCTCTGCACTCTTTCCAGAGTCTCAACATCTTTTTCATGCCTGACATATATATTGGCCTAAAGGTATTAATAAGATCTTAAAAACCACGTGTGCAGAAAAAGGCCGTCTGGGAGATTCATGTTCTCCACCATGAAGAAACAGAGGCAAAGTTTTAGTTTTCAGTGATGGAAGTTCTACGGAGAAACCTTCCCCAGGGAGAGAAAAACGATCCGATCCAGACTAGACATAAGCTGACGTCATTCCGCTTTTTTCGTCGTCTGCCGAGGTCTCCGGTCGTATAATGTTCCTTATCTTCATTAATAATCTCTTATTACGGATGCCCCTCTTCCCCTTTTATCCCTTATATCGGTTTCCTCCGATTTCCATGCAGCGCCAAAGCAGAATGGAACATCTGGTCGCGGTTTAACGTACAAAAAGAAATCTGTAATTAAAAATGTCAAGGAAGCAAGCAACTTTAAAACTTAATTCATTAAAAATGCAAAGCAGAGATTTCCATTCACGGGCAAACCTTCCAGATGAAAAGCTTGCAAATTTGACCTGATTTTTTGCCGGCAGACGGGACGATCTCGGTAATTAAAGCTCTTTAGACAAAAGGCAGAAATCGGCTGGGAGGGGTTTTTTTTTTATTATTATTGATTATTTTTTTTTTTGCTTGCTTTTAAAATAGTAGCAGGGAAAAAAAAAGAACAAAAGACAGAGATAATTGCGGTGCAAATGCAGTATGTTTGAGAAAGGAAACAAAATGCACAGAAATTGCTTTAGGAAATAAAAAATTCAACAATCCCGTCTCCCCAAAGTATAATATATTATTACAGCTGTTAACAGTGACAATTCTATATATACGTATGCAAATGTAATTATTATTTAAGCCTGCCTATATTTATTTCTAATATATTTGTAAAGCTTCTTTTTTTAACTTATTGTATTTTGCATAAATTTATTTATTTATTTCGCCCGGCTGTTGGCATTTTAGAACTGGGTCATAAGTACCGATTGGGGATTGTGTCCGTTGTAATTTCAAACAGTCACTAAGCCGCGGGTCATAAAATGAAGACTACTATATCTTTACTACATCTCCAGAAGAATGCTATCTTAAATTTAATTTAATAAATTTAATTATTTTAAATTTTAATTGCTGTTTTGTCTGTGTTTTTAAATAGGCTGTACACCGCCCTGAGTCCTTCGGGAGAAGGGCGGTATAGAAATAAAATTATTATTATTATTATTATTATTATTATTATTATTATTATTATTAT